ATAGGATCTTTTATATTGAAGTTGATTTGTATGAAGTGTAATGTAAATTAACATTATGTTATGATGTAAGTTTTATACAGTAGAGACATTTTCCAGAATATAATGATAGATTCTGTCTGAAAACAAGTGATACACCATGGATTGCAAGTGATAAGTATTGGATTAGTCCTAATGGAAGGGTCAGCAGACATGAGCCATAGTACCATATTGTGATGGCCAAGTATCCAGTTCCCAAGCTGGTTGTGTTGTTTCCTACTTGTTAAGCTCTCTATATTTGTCAAGATTAAAGCGAGTTGTGGTTGAGCCATTGTCAGCTTGGGAACTGTGTAATTGTAAGCCTTCAAGTTGCCATAACTAGGACTCATTTGGGCTGAGTGGATCAGATAGTTAGACTACTTTAGTAGGAGAGTACATGCAGAAGACCGGTTATACAATACATTCTCAAATAATTTAGAAACAGAATCTCTTTCATTGACCATGTTTTTGACATTCCATAAGTAGTAGTGTTTATCAGGTGGTTGTAGTCATTCCCAGCTGTACACATTACATCTTCATCTGTGCCGTTGTCTTGCCAGCCTGAGTCTATAGAACTTGAGTAACCATATGAAGAGAATTTGCTTGCTTGCATGCCAATAGAAATTTGCAGCTAGTCCCATGCTCTTGTTTTACTTTGCCTGTATTAAACAAGAATGTTTAACCAATCTGCAAAGATATTGTAATAGAACTTATTGTCATAGAATATTTCTGTATAGGGTATTACTAGTTATGACGGGATGTATTTGTTTTGTGGAGTTTTTAGAACGTGCTGGAAATATTTTTAACTTAAAACTGATTGTGTCTGCATATGTTTCCTTTGTATTAAATGTGTTTGACAATGGTCAGTGTATTTTAGTTAAGGAAATGAAAATCTTTTATTTTTATGATATTAGCACCACATCTCCAAGGGCACAATATGCATACCAAGTAGCTTTACATTGACATAGTTGTGTATATATAAATAATGCTTGGGAGAACGCTTTGCACAACATAGCAGTCACTACACTTATTTATCATAGTTTACGTATTATAAATGTAGCATTAAGAAAGGTAGCAGTGATTCTTCCATTGCTGTGTAACATATCTGAGAAAACAGTGTTGTGAAAGTAGAGGGAAATGGCACCCTCTTTGATGTTTTAAGCCATCTAAATGCCATCATTCCCAATCTTGGCTTCTTGTGCAACTATAAGAGAGGCTTTATGAGGAAATTTGTTCTATATGACCTTTCATTTTGCCATTTTCTCATGGTTTATGTATGCCTATTGAAAGAGTTTTAATTTGGTCAACTTTATGAAGGTAATGTTATCTCTTGAACTCGGTTTCACCCACCAGTCACAAGCATATATTTGTGCACCTTCTCAACACCCAAGAGCTTTTACACAAGCACATTTAGACAGTATTGCACAAGGCTGCATGCATATAACATACACATGGTCAGGCAATTGCTGCAAAATATTGACAATCACTAACATACAGATTTTTACATACACAAACAAAAAAAACACAAATTTAGAAACAGAATCTCTTTCATTGACCATGTTTTTGACATTCCATAAGTAGTAGTGTTTATCAGGTGGTTGTAGTCATTCCCAGCTGTACACATTACATCTTCATCTGTGCCGTTGTCTTGCCAGCCTGAGTCTATAGAACTTGAGTAACCATATGAAGAGAATTTGCTTGCTTGCATGCCAATAGAAATTTGCAGCTAGTCCCATGCTCTTGTTTTACTTTGCCTGTATTAAACAAGAATGTTTAACCAATCTGCAAAGATATTGTAATAGAACTTATTGTCATAGAATATTTCTGTATAGGGTATTACTAGTTATGACGGGATGTATTTGTTTTGTGGAGTTTTTAGAACGTGCTGGAAATATTTTTAACTTAAAACTGATTGTGTCTGCATATGTTTCCTTTGTATTAAATGTGTTTGACAATGGTCAGTGTATTTTAGTTAAGGAAATGAAAATCTTTTATTTTTATGATATTAGCACCACATCTCCAAGGGCACAATATGCATACCAAGTAGCTTTACATTGACATAGTTGTGTATATATAAATAATGCTTGGGAGAACGCTTTGCACAACATAGCAGTCACTACACTTATTTATCATAGTTTACGTATTATAAATGTAGCATTAAGAAAGGTAGCAGTGATTCTTCCATTGCTGTGTAACATATCTGAGAAAACAGTGTTGTGAAAGTAGAGGGAAATGGCACCCTCTTTGATGTTTTAAGCCATCTAAATGCCATCATTCCCAATCTTGGCTTCTTGTGCAACTATAAGAGAGGCTTTATGAGGAAATTTGTTCTATATGACCTTTCATTTTGCCATTTTCTCATGGTTTATGTATGCCTATTGAAAGAGTTTTAATTTGGTCAACTTTATGAAGGTAATGTTATCTCTTGAACTCGGTTTCACCCACCAGTCACAAGCATATATTTGTGCACCTTCTCAACACCCAAGAGCTTTTACACAAGCACATTTAGACAGTATTGCACAAGGCTGCATGCATATAACATACACATGGTCAGGCAATTGCTGCAAAATATTGACAATCACTAACATACAGATTTTTACATACACAAACAAAAAAAACACAAATTTAGAAAACAGGAAGGTTTTGCCTCAACAGTTAGTTACTGAGGTCAGATGTACTGTCAAAGCCAGTCTCTCTTAAACTCTCATATTGAATTAACCTCTGTATATCTCAACTTTAAAATATTTTGTTTGTGAAGATCTGGAGGATTTTATAAGGTTTTTGCTATTGTGTATACTGAAAAATAATTAGCAAGGATTATTCTTTGTAGGAATCTCTGCAATTATTATTTTTTACTCAGGAATATAGGAGGAATTAGGATGTGGAACAGCAGCTTGAATCTCATATACATTAGTGTATGATTTTGATAAATTACTCCTTAAAGATTGCTGATGTCTGGTTATGTTTTGCAGTATTTGTAATATGATAAGTGAAGTTGAATGCCAAACAAAACTGTCAACAAGTCCTGTTGTATAATAAGGAACACTTCTGAAAAGATAGAAAACGAGGATTTGCCTAATGAAAAAGCTCAGTCCATCTCCCCTCCCCACAATACCTGCACAATCTAGAACCTATCTGATCTCGTATCCCTCTTTCATTGGGTGTTGTTGGTTGTTTCTGTCAGAAATAGAACAAATTACTCAATTTATTTCCAGTGTTTTAACACAAATAAATGTTTTTTTTCATGCTTATGTGTTTTATGGAAATTTCCTATTATAATGTTCATACAAGTTAATGATAAAGTGAATGCAAAGCAAATTAGAAATTTGTAAGGACAGACAATAAGTATTTTTACATAAATCTTAATGTTCATGCTACTTCAAGATAATGAAAGTTTCTACTTTAGATAAATTTCCTGTTGCAAAATCATTGAAGAGTTGAATTAAAATTAACGGAGCGAGTAATGTTAAGGAGACAGTATAAAGACTTACCCATAGTTTTAGTCTCTCAAATTTTACTTGACTAATACTCTAGCTTAACATGATAATCCTCATGAAGAGAAGGGTAAGAAGAAATTGAATGAGCAAGTTTTATTGTAACATGGGGGGAAGGGGTAAAAATTTGTGTGCGATGAAGAAAAATGGCTGGATTGGGATTGCAAGTTATGTTGTTTTTGGTCTTATAAATAAACAGTAGTAGCACTATATAGGACAGGAAACTCAACTCGAGCCAGTGATTACAATATTTGGTTGGGAGCACAAAATCCCAGGAATGGAAACCATGCAATGTATGATTTAGATATGGTTGGTGCTCATTGTTGAGCATTTCTTCCATGTGGGTTTAAACTACAAGCATAGAAGCAGTATTTTACAGTCATTGACTTTTTGCTCATACACAAACAGTATGGGGATTCCATGAAAAAAGTGTGACCTCATTTAAAAATATAAAACATTTCCTTTTTATTTTTTTCTCCACGGCATTTTGTATACAAGCAGCAGCCATGAATAGTGACCATGATATTAACAATGTTCAAAATACTATTATCCCCCCAATTCCTTGCCCGTTGTTGTCGTGGGGGGCTTAGGAGGCGGAGACTGGTACCCAATGATGGGAAACTCCCCAACCTTGGGACTTGGTCCTCGGCTCAACTAATTTTGCATGGTCTTTTTTCCCCTCCTACTATTTCGTTTCTGTCCCTTCACCAACCCCTTCTACTATCTACTTCCTAAGGTGTGAGAGCCGTGATGAAAGGATGAAAGGCTGACTTTGTGCCAGTTCTGAACGGCCTGAGGGAGCCATAGGCACAGTATTCCCCTGCTTAGTTGCCTAGCCCTTACTGTTTCTTTCCTCAACATATTCCAGGCTTACCATGGCCAACAATGAAGATGTTAGTCCACTATCAGCGGCAGTGAGGCTTGCCCTTCCATCATATAGCCCCAACAATTCAAACTCTCCCGATTCCCTAACCCCAGGCTCTCTTTTAACGACGGCTCCGAACACTACAACTACTACCCCCTCCTCAATGCCTACTAGTATAGTATCCATCCTAGTCAACACTCAACCCCCAGGAGACATTTCTACTCTCCCAACATGCTCAACTTTACAGCCTTATTGCCCACCTCTCCATAACACTACCTCCTTCAACACTACTCCCTCTTCCACACGCCCCTCGTCCTTCTACTACCATCATCTCTACAAAAATCCTAAATACTCCACTTCCTTCCACTCCCTCTTGGATACACACGTGATTATATCACAACTATCCTCAACCACCATCCATTACCATTTACTATAGTGCTACATGACCATATATGTCTAGTACATTTATTTTGCTTTTAACCATTAACCATAATATTATCATTAATACCAATAGTTATTATTATTATAATAAACATTATTATTATTATTATCACTGTGAATAATGATAATAACTTCCAAGAAAGTGAACACACATTTTATTGCATCAATAGTTAACTGCAAAACCT